TTGATGTCGCATGTTGTCCTGTGATGTCGCATGTTGATGTCGCATGTTGGACCGTGATGTCGCATGTTGATGTCGCATGTTGTCCTGTGATGTCGCATGTTGATGTCGCATGTTGATGTCGCATGTTGACCTGTGATGTCGCATGTTGTCCCGTGATGTCGCATGTTGACCTGTGATGTCGCATGTTGATGTCGCATGTTGTCCTGTGATGTCGCATGTTGACCCGTGATGTCGCATGTTGATGTCGCATGTTGATATCGCATGTTGTCCCGTGATGTCGCATGTTGACCCGTGATGTCGCATGTTGACCTGTGATGTCGCATGTTGACCCGTGATGTCGCATGTTGATGTCGCATGTTGATGTCGCATGTTGACCCGTGATGTCGCATGTTGACCTGTGATGTTGCATGTTGTCCCGTGATGACGCATGTTGATGTCGCATGTTGATGTCGCATGTTGATGTCGCATGTTGACGTCGCATGTTGTCATGTGATGTCGCATGTTGACCCGTGATGTCGCATATTGATGTCGCATGTTGATGTCGCATGTTGACGTCGCATGTTGTCATGTGATGTCGCATGTTGACCTGTGATGTCGCATGTTGATGTCGCATGTTGATGTCGCATGTTGTCATGTGATGTTGCATGTTGACCTGTGATGTCGCATGTTGATGTCGCATGTTGTCATGTGATGTCGCATGTTGACCTGTGATGTCGCATGTTGATGTCGCATGTTGACCTGTGATGTCGCATGTTGACCCGTGATGTCGCATGTTGACCTGTGATGTCGCATGTTGACCCGTGATGTCGCATGTTGATGTCGCATGTTGATGTCGCATGTTGACCTGTGATGTCGCATGTTGACCCGTGATGTCGCATGTTGATGTCGCATGTTGATGTCGCATGTTGACCCGTGATGTCGCATGTTGTCCCGTGATGTCGCATGTTGACCCGTGATGTCGCATGTTGATGTCGCATGTTGTCCTGTGATGTCGCATGTTGTCCTGTGATGTCGCATGTTGACCCGTGATGTCGCATGTTGACCCGTGATGTCGCATGTTGATGTCGCATGTTGACCCGTGATGTCGCATGTTGATGTCGCATGTTGACCCGTGATGTCGCATGTTGATGTCGCATGTTGTCCTGTGATGTCGCATGTTGTCCTGTGATGTCGCATGTTGTCCTGTGATGTCGCATGTTGTCCTGTGATGTCGCATGTTGTCCTGTGATGTCGCATGTTGATGTCGCATGTTGTCCCGTGATGTCGCATGTTGATGTCGCATGTTGATGTCGCATGTTGACCCGTGATGTTGCATGTTGTCCTGTGATGTCGCATGTTGATGTCGCATGTTGTCCTGTGATGTCGCATGTTGACCCGTGATGTCGCATGTTGTCCTGTGATGTCGCATGTTGATGTCGCATGTTGTCCTGTGATGTCGCATGTTGATGTCGCATGTTGTCCTGTGATGTCGCATGTTGATGTCGCATGTTGTCCTGTGATGTCGCATGTTGTCCTGTGATGTCGCATGTTGATGTCGCATGTTGACCCGTGATGTCGCATGTTGTCCTGTGATGTCGCATGTTGATGTCGCATGTTGACCCGTGATGTCGCATGTTGACCCGTGATGTCGCATGTTGACCTGTGATGTCGCATGTTGATGTCGCATGTTGACCCGTGATGTCGCATGTTGTCCTGTGATGTCGCATGTTGATGTCGCATGTTGTCCTGTGATGTCGCATGTTGACCTGTGATGTCGCATGTTGTCCTGTGATGTCACGTGTTGTCCTGTGATGTCACATGTTGACCTGTGATGTTGCATGTTGTCCTGTGATGTCGCATGTTGTCCTGTGATGTCGCATGTTGTCCTGTGATGTCGCATGTTGATGTCGCATGTTGTCCCGTGATGTCGCATGTTGATGTCGCATGTTGATGTCGCATGTTGACCTGTGATGTCGCATGTTGTCCTGTAATGTCGCATGTTGATGTCGCATGTTGTCCTGTGATGTCGCATGTTGACCCGTGATGTCGCATGTTGTCCTGTGATGTCGCATGTTGACCCGTGATGTCGCATGTTGTCCTGTGATGTCGCATGTTGATGTCGCATGTTGTCCTGTGATGTCGCATGTTGATGTCGCATGTTGTCCTGTGATGTCGCATGTTGTCCTGTGATGTCGCATGTTGATGTCGCATGTTGACCCGTGATGTCGCATGTTGTCCTGTGATGTCGCATGTTGATGTCGCATGTTGACCCGTGATGTCGCATGTTGTCCTGTGATGTCGCATGTTGATGTCGCATGTTGTCCTGTGATGTCGCATGTTGACCTGTGATGTCGCATGTTGTCCTGTGATGTCACGTGTTGTCCTGTGATGTCACATGTTGACCTGTGATGTCGCATGTTGATGTCACGTGTTGTCCTGTGATGTCACATGTTGTCCTGTGATGTCACATGTTGTCCTGTGTTGTCCTGTGATGTCACATGTTGACCTGTGATGTCGCATGTTGATGTCACGTGTTGTCCTGTGATGTCACATGTTGTCCTGTGATGTCACATGTTGTCCTGTGATGTCATCATACCAGGGGACCCACACGGGGAATGCTGAGGGCTTCAAGATCAGCACGCTGCTCAAACTGACCGAACCCAAAGCCAACAAGTCCAGAATCACTCTGCTTCACCACATCCTGCAGGTAGCACACCATACTGGAAACACTGGTTATACTGGAAGCACTGGTTATACTGAGTATACTGGTTATACTGAGTATACTGGTTAATCTGGAAACACTTTACGCTGCTGTCTCGACTCATTTGTGAAAGAGATTTTTGTATTACAATGAGATTATTCGTGGTAAATAGTGAAGGTTAAATGAATGAATAAATATTGGTTGTACTGGTTATACTGGTTACACTGACGGTTTATATTGGTGTTGATCCATCTCTGTCCCTGCGTTAGTGCAGTATGTTATGAAACATGTGCTGCTCTCTGTGTGACGCTTAGGAGGTGGAGCAGAGCTATCCCGACCTGTTGAACCTACCTGATGACCTGGAGATGGGTGCAAAGGCTGCTGGGTAAAAAAAACAACCTGTTTTATATTAGATTATAAAAACATTTGTTAATGTTGTTGGTGAATATTCGATGTGTGTGTCTGCAGGTTGAATCTGGAGTCACTTCAGTGTGAAAGCAGCGCTCTGATCAAGCAGCTGAAAAACTCTGAGCAGAGACTCTCCTGTTCCTCTGAGGACCTGAAGGAGCAGTACCTGACCCCCATACAGGTGCTGAGGAGCAGACTCCGCCCCCTGCTGGGGCTCACCTGTTCTATAATCTTCTTCTATAAAAAGGTCTGTTTACCTGTCTGTGCCGTCGTCTTCTTCTGTGGTGTTTCAGGAGAGCCTGCAGGCGTTGGAGATGCTGCATCAGCTGTTGTCCTCGTTGGAGGACAAGAAGACACACCTGTCGGTCTACCTGTGTGAGGACAGCAGCAGCTTCTCCATCGAAGAACTCTTCAACACCATCAGAACCTTCAGAGGACTGTTCCTCAGGGCCATCCAGGTCAGAAATATCAACAGCCAATCACAGGGCAGACACTTCTGCATCAGCAATATCAACAGCTAATGTCAGCAGCAAATTAGACTCCTGCAAGGGCATCAGCCAATGAAAAGCCTTCAATATCAGCAGACAATTTCATGCAATGTCAACAGCTGCACGCCAAATACACAAATTTCCAAACACAGGGCAAAAATACCAAAACAACAATTTCCACAGCCACTTACTAACCAGCAGCCAATCACAGGCAGGATACACATGCAGCCAATCACTGATCAGCAGCCAATCACAGGCAGGATACACATGCAGCCAATCACTGATCAGCAGCCAATCGCAGGCAGGATACACATGCAGCCAATCACTGATCAGCAGCCAATCGCAGGCAGGATACACATGCAGCCAATCACTGATCAGCAGTGTCAGCAGCCAATCACGGGCAGGATACACATGCAGCCAATCACTGATCAGCAGCCAATCGCAGGCAGGATACACATGCAGCCAATCACTGATCAGCAGCCAATCGCAGGCAGGATACACATGCAGCCAATCACTGATCAGCAGCCAATCGCAGGCAGGATACACATGCAGCCAATCACAGGCCAGATACACATGCAGCCAATCACTGATCAGCAGTGTCAGCAGCCAATCACAGGCAGGATACACATGCAGCCCATCACTGATCAGCAGCCAATCACGGGCCGGATACACATGCAGCCAATCACTGATCAGCAGCCAATCGCAGGCAGGATACACATGCAGCCCATCACTGATCAGCAGCCAATCACAGGCAGGATACACATGCAGCCCATCACTGATCAGCAGTGTCAGCAGCCAATCACAGGCAGGATACACATGCAGCCCATCACTGATCAGCAGTGTCAGCAGCCAATCACAGGCAGGATACACATGCAGCCCATCACTGATCAGCAGTGTCAGCAGCCAATCACAGGCAGGATACACATGCAGCCCATCACTGATCAGCAGTGTCAGCAGCCAATCACAGGCAGTAATGACCCCTGCAGGTTACATCCTGGCTCTTATCCCCCTGATGATCACTTCCTGTTTTGTGCGTCAGGAGAACGAGAGCCGCAGGCTGCAGGAGAGGAGGAGGACGCAGCAGGAGGAGGAGAGGAAACGCAAAGGAGACACCTACAAGTTCAGTGAGTCCCCTCCCCCCCCTTAAACTACAGAGAGTCTGACCTCCGACCCCAGCATGTAAATGGTCATGACGACTTAAAGGAGGCGTGTCTTTATTTGTCATCTCGAACATGTTCCAGATGTTTGTAAAAGTAATCTGAGAATAATGAGGTCAGGATGTTAAACATGTTTAACAGACAGGAAGGAGCCGGCCAATCAGGAGCAAGGCTGCATCATCGACAACCTGCTGGCCGAGATCAAGAAGGGCTACAATCTGAACAAGACCAGACCACCAACTGACAGACCCAGCAGAGTCCACGGTGAGAACTGTGCTGGGCTGGGAAGGACTGGACTGGACTCTGATGGACTGTGATAGACTGTGGTGGACTGTGATGGACTTTGATGGACTGTGGTGGACTGTGGTGGACTGTGATGGACTTTGATGGACTGTGGTGGACTGTGATAGACTCTGATGGACTGTGATAGACTGTGGTGGACTGTGATGGACTGTGATAGACTGTGGTGGACTGTGATGGACTTTGATGGACTGTGGTGGACTGTGGTGGACTGTGGTGGACTTTGATGGACTGTGGTGGACTGTGGTGGACTGTGGTGGACTCTGATGGACTGTGATAGACTGTGATAGACTGTGATGGACTTTGATGGACTGTGGTGGACTGTGATGGACTTTGATGGACTGTGATGGACTGTGGTGGACTGTGGTGGACTGTGATGGACTTTGATGGACTGTGGTGGACTGTGGTGGACTGTGATGGACTTTGATGGACTGCGGTGGACTTTGATGAACTGTGATGGACTGTGGTGGACTGTGGTGGACTGTGATGGACTTTGATGGACTGTGGTGGACTGTGATGAACTATGATGGACTGTGGTGGACTGTGATGGACTTTGATGGACTGTGATGGACTGTGGTGGACTGTGATGGACTTTGATGGACTGTGATGGACTGTGGTGGACTGTGATGGACTGTGATGGACTGTGGTGGACTGTGGTGGACTGTGGTGGACTGTGATGGACTGTGGTGGACTGTGGTGGACTGTGATGGACTGTGGTGGACTGTGGTGGACTGTGGTGGACTGTGATGGACTGTGGTGGACTGTGGTGGACTGTGATGGACTGTGATGGACTGTGGTGGACTGTGGTGGACTGTGGTGGACTGTGGTGGACTTTGATGAACTGTGATGAATGTGATGGACTGTGATGGACTGTGATGGACTGTGGTGGACTGTGGTGGACTGTGGTGGACTTTGATGAACTGTGATGAATGTGGTGGACTGTGGTGGACTGTGGTGGACTGTGGTGGACTTTGATGGACTGTGGTGGACTGTGGTGGACTTTGATGGACTTTGGTGGACTGTGGTGGACTGTGATGGACTGTGATGGACTTTGATGGACTGTGATGGACTTTGATGGACTGTGGTGGACTGTGGTGGACTGTGATGGACTGTGATGGACTGTGATAGACTGTGGTGGACTGTGATGGACTTTGATGGACTGTGGTGGACTGTGGTGGACTGTGGTGGACTCTGATGGACTTTGATGGACTGTGGTGGACTGTGGTGGACTGTGATAGACTGTGATGGACTTTGATGGACTGTGGTGGACTGTGATGGACTTTGATGGACTGTGATGGACTGTGGTGGACTGTGGTGGACTGTGATGGACTTTGATGGACTGTGGTGGACTGTGATGGACTTTGATGGACTGTGGTGGACTTTGATGAACTATGATGGACTGTGGTGGACTGTGGTGGACTGTGATGGACTTTGATGGACTGTGGTGGACTTTGATGAACTATGATGGACTGTGGTGGACTGTGATGGACTTTGATGGACTGTGATGGACTGTGGTGGACTGTGATGGACTTTGATGGACTGTGGTGGACTTTGATGAACTATGATGGACTGTGGTGGACTGTGATGGACTTTGATGGACTGTGATGGACTGTGGTGGACTGTGATGGACTTTGATGGACTGTGGTGGACTTTGATGAACTATGATGGACTGTGGTGGACTGTGGTGGACTGTGGTGGACTGTGATGGACTTTGATGGACTGTGGTGGACTGTGGTGGACTTTGATGGACTGTGGTGGACTGTGATGGACTGTGATGGACTTTGATGGACTGTGATGGACTTTGATGGACTGTGGTGGACTGTGGTGGACTGTGATGGACTGTGGTGGACTGTGGTGGACTGTGGTGGACTGTGGTGGACTGTGGTGGACTGTGATGGACTGTGGTGGACTGTGGTGGACTGTGGTGGACTGTGATGGACTGTGATGGACTGTGGTGGACTTTGATGAACTGTGATGAATGTGATGGACTGTGATGGACTGTGATGGACTGTGATGGACTGTGGTGGACTGTGGTGGACTTTGATGAACTGTGATGAATGTGATGGACTGTGGTGGACTGTGGTGGACTGTGGTGGACTTTGATGGACTGTGGTGGACTGTGGTGGACTTTGATGGACTTTGATGGACTGTGATGGACCTTGATGGACTGTGGTGGACTGTGATGGACCTTGATGGACTGTGATGGACCTTGATGGACTCTGATAAATTGTGAGGTTTTGTGATTCTCAGATCATCCTGAGGTCATACAGGGGTCCTTGGCTGTGGACAAGCCAGACTTGTTCTCCTTCAGCCAATCAGAGAAGTCTGCAGAACCACCAGTCCGGACTCATTCAGGTTCACCAGCTAAGACTAATAAAAGCCCCCCTGACTCTATCAGACCTTCTGGACCTTCAGCCTCCCCTGCTGCTGCTGACACTGAAGGAGACCAGAACCCAACCAGAGTCCAGGATTTTAAATTGGACACTGGACCTGACCTTGACACTACAGATGGAAGTCCTTTAGGGGGTAAGGGGGTCCAGGCCGGACCAGACGAGTCCAGAGAGAACGTCGATGTAAACACAGAGGAAGACTCTGCGTTTGAGGAGATCACATCGTTTGAAGTGAGGATGACGATGTCCAAAGATGATCCAGCTCCTCGTCCAGCAAAGAGGTCCATGACCAGTCATCAAGGTGGGTCTGAGACAGGTCCAGAACCAGAACTTTCTTTTAACCCTCAGGCATCAATTTAATTTACGACCCTCTTAAGTCACTAAGGACAAAAATGTCCACTTACAAAAAACTGTTATAAAAATAGAACAGATTGATATTTTTTCTGCATAAATCTCTTAAATAACTTCAGCCCTGCTCAAAACTTTTTATTGTTTTCCATAAAACAAATATTTGGTGGCTGGGGGATTTTTTTTAAATCAGTCTTGGATATGTCAAAGATTATCCAAAATATTGACTTTGATGCATTGTTAGTTTTTGTGTAGCATCAGATTTAAAATGTAGTTCCCTGTTTGGACATTGGAGGGCGAAAATGTCCAATTCACAAAAACTGATATAAAAATAGAACAGATTGATATTTTTTTCATAAATCTCTTAAACAACTTCAGCCCTGCTCAAAACTATCAACTATTGAATAATTATCAGGAATTTAACCCTTTAAATGCCAGTTTGATTACATGATTCTGACATTTAAAGGGTTAAATTCCTGATAATTATTCAATATTTGATATCAATCTGTTCTATTTTTATAGCAGTTTTTTGGAAGTGGACATTTTTTGTCCTTATTGACTTCAGAGGGTAGTAAACATGTTTCTCAGTGTTCTATTGATCTATTAAAAAAATAAAATGTGCATTCCAAAATGTGTCAAGAGAGAGACTTTCTTCCAAAAACTGGTGCCATATGCACTAACAGACAAAATGATGACCAGATGAAGAGGAAACATTTGACCACATGGACAAAAATGTCCATAATGATGCATGAGGGTTAAACTAACAGTCGGGACTGGAACATGATCTGAGCCTGTCAGAACATGTCAGAGATTTCAGTTCTTCTGGTTTAAAGAAAACAGCTAAAGAGGAAGTGGGCGTGGCCACTGAGAGGCCATCCATTGGTTCACAGCTTCTGCTTTAATGCTGCATTCAGGTGCTCCACGATCGGTAGCCGATAACGAGTGTACGGTGAAGAAGTTATATTTCAGCTATACGGGAATTTATAAAAAGTATCTGAACTTTAAAACATGAGTTTCTGAGTCGGTGCTTCAACTTGAGCAGGCGTTCGTGTGCAATTCACAACTCTGACCCTTGTTTTTCCAATGTTACAATTCACTCAGCAGACGCTTTTATCCAAAGTGACGTACATCGTGGTCGTATTTGAAGGGAAAGGGCGGAGTTGGAGAGGTGGGCGGGGTTAGCATGCTAAGTATGGAGCTTCATACCTGCGATTAAAAATGTGATTAATGGTGATTTACTGTCAGACTTTAGTGATTAAGTGCCATTAAAAAAAAGTTTAGTTAGACAGCCCAAGTTTGAAAATGTTCGTTAATGCATGTGTTTGACTTGCAGGGGGAGCCAAACACAAAACCTGGACAGGATGTGTGTCACACTGAGGTGAGTCCACTCTGTCACTTCACCCTCAGTTCAGCCTGTCAGGCTGAAATCCACCTGCCGACGTTTTCAGGTGTGATGCAGCTAAAGGAGGAGGGGCCAGGAAACAGGAAGTGTGAGGGGCTAACATCATGCTAACTAACAGCAGGATTACCCCCCCCCCCCACAGGATTCTGATACAGAGCTGACTCCCTCGCTGCAGCCAATCAGAATGCTTCTTCTTCTGTCTGCAGGAACGACCGGCCAGAAAGCTTCTCTGGTTGCAGGTGATAACAGGAGGACTTGTCTCCATGGCGACAGGACTGAATGTGTTTCCACAGAGAGAGAATAACCCTGATGAGAGAGGAGGAGGTCTGACAGCTGATTGGTTACTGGTTTGATTATTGATTGATTCCAGATCAGAGAAATAAAACTGTTTAATGAAAAAAAAAAAAGTGTCAAAGATCATGTAAAGAGTCCCATCGCTATGACAACCAGCTCACATTAACTGATGCTACAGACACAAAACACTGATTTAAAGAGCTATCATCACATGAGTCCATTAGTCTGTGTGCTGCATGTTTACTGTCCAGTCAGCAACTTGAGAAGAAAACAACAAACACTGATTGGTTCATTACATCCCCCTGAGCAGCGTCTGTTCATCTGTTTCCTGTGCGTCTCACTGTGACTGTAACTCGTCTAAAGGTAAGTCAAACTCATTCAAACACTATTTATCTTAAACTGCAAACTCAATGACATCGTTGACCTGCAGACAGAGTGTGGCTAACGCTAGCAGTGTTAGCACGTCCAGGTCGTCCTGCAGGTGTCTGTGTTGAATGTATTGAAGACTCACCTGTTTACAGCTGTCTTTCATTAAACAGCTTTAATAAGATTTTAAACTTTAACTGTGCACTGTAATTATTATTATTTTTTTAACTCTTTTAATTTCTTTCTAATTAATTTCATTTGAATTATTTTTATTTGAACATATGTTCAGATTTAATCATTTCAGTGATTTGAATGTTTCTTTTCTTTCCTCTGTCATGATGCTTTTCATGTGTGAAGCACTTTGCCTTGTTGTTGAAATGTGCAACATAAATAAACTCGCCTTGCTCCAGTTGATTTCCCAGTTTGAGCTGACAGCCTATAAAACACTTCATCTCCGTGTTCTGATGTGAACACTGACAGACCGCTCTGCTCCTCTTCTCTGAGCTTGTTTACATCCAGGTAGAGGAGCGAGGAGGGCCGGCCCAGCAAGTGAGACTTTTTGATCCAGTAGGTGTCGCCCTTGAGCTCCAGCATGAAACCAAAACAAACTTTCTGTTAGGCCACGCCTCCTCCATCCTGAAGCCTCCGCTCTCCTCCAGAGACACACCTCCAACCCCCCTCCACTCACGTTCACACGGAGGAGTCGAGTGCAAGTCGTGGACAAACTAGTCCTGGTTAAATCACATAAATAAAAGCAACGGCAGCTGATGTGTTGACCTGTGTTTGACCTTCAGCTGTCCTCTGACGGTCTGAAGTGGCCGTTTCCATGGAAACCAAGGTCAGAAATATAGAGAGAGAGATGTCTGTGTGTGTGTGTGTGTGTGTGTGTGTGTGTGTGTGTGTGTGTGTGTGTGTGTGTGTGTGTGTGTGTGTGTGTGTGTGTGTGTGTGTATACAGGTTGATCAGCTGAAGAACCAAGAAAACCCGCTGGCCTTCAGAATAAGAGCCCAGCATCATAAAAGCTTTATTGTGAAGGGATTTGACTTCCTGTAATACCTGTAGATATAATATTCAGACGCCTTCAGGGAAGTCGACACATTCGTCCTAAATCTAAATAAATACATTTTAATACAGAAGTCAAGGCAGGAGCTTTTATTTTGAAGGCTCGTCGGTGTCGCTTCCTGTGCGGCTGTGCGTGTTGACGTGTGTTGACGCAGCGGGTGGCTGCTGGTGCGTCAGGAGGAGACGGAGATGCCATAACAGCAGCATCAGCTCCGGTTCTGTTCGCTCCGCTCTCACCTGAACCGGCTCCACTCCGGGACAACGCTCATGGTCTGCCCGCCTCACAGCGCCTCAACCCCGGCATCCATCCCAGCAGAGGAGCGGCGGCAGCATCTGGAGCGGAGGTAAGAGATGAAGAGGAGGAGGAGGAGGAGGAGGAGGCAGGGCGTGGAGGAGGGAAGAGAGACCTGTCTGTGTGTCCTCCTGTCTATCTTTCCCGTTATCTCTCTGCCTCTCCTGTCTCTCTCTCCCCTGTCTCTCTGCCTGTCTGTCTCTCTGTCTCTCTCTCTCTTCCTCCTGTCTGTCGGCTCCTCCAGCGGCTCCATGTCCGGCCTTGTAGCCGCGGATGGAGCGCTGAGGCCCGGTTGGATGTTCCTGGGTGTGTTAGTGGAGCATATGACTGCGGTGTGTCAGGTCATGTCCACAGACAGGTTTAGTCCGGGGTGTGTCCCCGTTCAGGTGATCTGAGACGTCACAGTCACAGTGCTGATGAAGGTGAGGATGAAGATGGTGATGACGTCACAGAGGTGAACAGGTTGCCCTGCTCTTCAAACAGATGAGATCACTAACAGAAACATATGCACCTGCTTGTATTCATATACGGGTGTTTATATATTATAATTGTATTTATTTAAATGTGGTCCTCCCTTTACTTTCAGCCCGTCTCCACTTCTTATTTAGTGATTCTGTTCTTTTTTGCATGTTGATATTTTCTCTCTTTTATTTTGACAGCTTCCTGAGCAGTTTTATTATTTTTATCATTTTTATGAATTTTTAAATCCTGTTGTAGTTTTTGTTGAGAGAGCCTCCCTCTCTGTCAGATCTGATCATCAGACCTCCTTAGTCAGGGTGGTCACATGACCTTGATCACATGACCCCCCCCTTGGTTCATCTCAAGGGTCTGTCCATCAAATAAACAGAATTTCTCACCTCAGAATATTATAATAATATAATATCTGAAGACCGGCCTCGAGACCCCTTTTTGAAGGTCTCGGAATCAAAAGCATTTTCACTCGGTCTCAGTGGGACAGACTTCAAATGAAGACCGGTCAGGACCACCACTGATCGGTCTTCATTACTGGTACTGCGTTAGAAGACAAACGCTCCTTTCTAAAAGAACAAGTAACTTCAATTCATCTGATTTTGAACTCCGTCCCGGTGTGACGGTCTACGTGAGGGACACGCCCCCTAAACAAGATGATTTCTGATGTTTATGGTCTTGATCTGGTCTCGGTCTCACCCTACCTTGGTCTTTGTCTTGATTCGGTCTCATTCTGCCTTGATCTGGGTCTTGACTCAGTCCAGATCCCTAAATGTCTTGGTCTTGTTCTTGACTCGGTCCAGATCCCTAAATGTCTTTGTCTTGGTCTTGACTCGGTCCAGATCCCTAAATGTCTTGGTCTTGTTCTTGACTCAGTCCAGATCCCTAAATGTCTTGGTCTTGTTCTTGACTCGGTCCAGATCCCTAAATGTCTTGGTCTTGTTCTTGACTCGGTCCAGATCCCTAAATGTCTTTGTCTTGGTCTTGACTCGGTCCAGATCCCTAAATGTCTTGGTCTTGGTATTGACTCGGTCCAGATCCCTAAATGTCTTGGTCTTGGTATTGACTCGGTCCAGATCCCTAAATGTCTTTGTCTTGGTCTTGACTCGGTCCAGATCCCTAAATGTCTTTGTCTTGGTATTGACTCGGTCCAGATCCCTAAATGTCTTGGTCTTGTTCTTGACTCGGTCCAGATCCCTAAATGTCTTTGTCTTGGTATTGACTCGGTCCAGATCCCTAAATGTCTTTGTCTTGGTATTGACTCGGTCCAGATCCCTAAATGTCTTGGTCTTGGTCTTGACTCGGTCCAGATCCCTAAATGTCTTTGTCTTGGTATTGACTCGGTCCAGATCCCTAAATGTCTTGGTCTTGGTCTTGACTCGGTCCAGATCCCTAAATGTCTTTGTCTTGGTATTGACTCGGTCCAGATCCCTAAATGTCTTGGTCTTGGTCTTCACTCGGTCCAGATCCCTACATGTCTTGGTCTTGTTCTTGACTCGGTCCAGATCCCTAAATGTTTTGGTCTTGGTCTTGACTCGGTCCAGATCCCTAAATGTCTTGGTCTTGGTATTGACTCGGTCCAGATCCCTAAATGTCTTGGTCTTGGTCTTCACTCGGTCCAGATCCCTAAATGTTTTGGTCTTGGTCTTGACTCGGTCCAGATCCCTAAATGTTTTGGTCTTGGTCTTGACTCGGTCCAGATCCCTAAATGTCTTTGTCTTGGTATTGACTCGGTCCAGATCCCTACATGTCTTGGTCTTGTTCTTGACTCGGTCCAGATCCCTAAATGTTTTGGTCTTGGTCTTGACTCGGTCCAGATCCCTAAATGTCTTTGTCTTGGTATTGACTCGGTCCAGATCCCTAAATGTCTTGGTCTTGGTCTTCACTCGGTCCAGATCCCTAAATGTCTTGGTCTTGTCGGAGCACTCTGGTCTTGGGTCTGTCTTGGTCTCGGTTAGTGTGGTCTTGTGTCTGACCCTCTTTCTCTCTCTCTTTCTCTCTCTTTCTCTCTATCCTCGGTTTCCCAGGATGCACTGGGGTCTCCCAGCAGGCCTGTGAAGATGAGTGTGACCTCGTGGTTCCTGGTGAGCAGCTCGGGGACTCGACACCGCCTCCCCAGAGAGATGATCTTTGTGGGCCGAGAGGACTGTGAGCTCATGCTGCAGGTAAGACCGGCCAATCACAGCGGCCAATCACAGCGGCCAATCACAGCGGCCAATCAGATCCACCGATTCAGAGTCTGTATGAAACACAGACATTTTAACATGGAGCTCTATGAGGACTGACTCACTGCAGGAGACAGACTCTAGTGGACACTGGAGGAACTGCAGTATTTATTTTCATATTGAAAATCTTTGTGTTGTTTCAGTCCCGCAGTGTGGACAAACAGCATGCCGTCATCAACTACAACCCGACTACAGACCAACACCTGGTCAAAGACCTGGGCAGCCTCAACGGGGTGAGACTACTACACAAACAAACACACAGCTGGCAGTATGAAGCAGAGTGAAGGTGACTTTATGTTTCTATGTTTCAGACGTTTGTGAACGACCTGAGGATTCCTGATCAGACCTACATCACCCTCAAACTGTCCGACATCATCCGCTTCGGATACGATATCCTCCTGTGTTCTGTGTGTGTGTGTGTGTGTGTGTGTGTAAATCAACAGTCAGGTAAAGTTCATGTTAAGATCAGCAGGAAGTCCAGTGTTTGGCTGTTAAACGATCGTTCAGGGTTCATAGATTATGGAGTTGATTTGTTTGTTCTGACAAAGTGAGTGGTTTTTTTCTTAACGGTCTCTTCACATTCTCACGTCTACATCCTCGAGAAAAGTCAACACAAAGTTCCAGAGGAGGCTCTGAAGGTCAGTGTGTGTGTGTGTGTGTGTGTGTGTGTGTGTGTGTGATTAGACACTGTGTCACAGCACCTCCTGTTGTTGCAGCATGAGAAGTACAGCAGTCAGCTGCAGATGAGCCTGAAGGCTGCAGAGGGAAACAAGGTGGAGGCCGATGAGAAACCACGAGCCGAGAAGACCCCGAGTACCAAGAGTCTGACACAAGGTACTGCAAAAAATACTCTGCAAAAAATACACTACCAAAAATACTCTGCAAAAAAATACTCTGCAAAAAATACTCTGCAAAAAATACACTACCAAAAATACTCTGCAAAAAAAATACACTGCAAAAAAATACTCTGCAAAAAAAATACACTGCAAAAAATACACTGCAATAAATACTCGGCAAATAATAATCGACAAAAAAATACTCTTCAAAGAATAATCTGCAAAAAAATACTTTGCAGAAATACTCTTCAAAAAATACACTTCAAACCGTACTGCAAAAATAATGCAACCCTAAACAAACGAAGAGTCTGACACAAGGTACAACTGAAATTCTGCAAAGACACACTGCAAACAGAACTGCAGTACTAAACTACTTCTATGTTGCAGAAGCTCCAGTGTCGCGGCCCACTCCTCTGTACGGTCAGCCGTCGTGGTGGGGAGAGGAGGATTATGGGAGTAAGGTTCAGAGCAGCGATGAGCCTAACGCAGGTAAAAAACACACCTTCAATTAAAAACATGAATGGTGGTTTTCATTAAAACGTCTTAAAAGTAGCAGTAGTAGTAGTCATATTGATAGTAGCAGTAGTAGTAGTCATATTGATAGTAGTAGTAGTAGTAGTCATATTGATAGTAGCAGTAGTAGTAGTCATATTGATAGTAGTAGTAGTCATATTGATAGTAGCAGTAGTAGTAGTCATATTGATAGTAGCAGTAATAGTAGTCATATTGATAGTAGCAGTAGTAGCAGTCATATTGATAGTAGCAGTAATAGTAGTCATATTGATAGTAGCAGTAGTAGTAGTCATATTGATAGTAGCAGTAGTAGCAGTCATATTGATAGTAGCAGTAATAGTAGTAATATTGATAGTAGCAGTAATAGTAGTCATATTGATAGTAGCAGTAGTAGTAGTCATATTGATAGTAGCAGTAATAGTAGTCATATTGATAGTAGCAGTAGTAGTAGTCATATTGATAGTAGCAGTAGTAGTAGTCATATTGATAGTAGCAGTAGTAGTAGTCATATTGATAGTAGCAGTAGTAGTAGTCATATTGATAGTAGCAGTAGTAGTAGTCATATTGATAGTAGCAGTAGTAGCAGTCATATTGATAGTAGCAGTAGTAGCAGTCATATTGATAGTAGCAGTAATAGTAGTCATATTGATAGTAGCAGTAGTAGCAGTCATATTGATAGTAGCAGTAGTAGTAGTCATATTGATAGTAGCAGTAATAGTAGTCATATTGATAGTAGCAGTAGTAGTAGTCATATTGATAGTAGCAGTAGTAGTAGTCATATTGATAGTAGCAGTAGTAGCAGTCATATTGATAGTAGCAGTAATAGTAGTCATATTGATAGTAGCAGTAGTAGTAGTCATATTGATAGTAGCAGTAGTAGTAGTCATATTGATAGTAGCAGTAATAGTAGTCATATTGATAGTAGCAGTAGTAGTAGTCATATTGATAGTAGCAGTAATAGTAGTCATATTGATAGTAGCAGTAATAGTAGTCATATTGATAGTAGCAGTAGTAGTAGTCATATTGATAGTAGCAGTAATAGTAGTCATATTGATAGTAGCAGTAGTAGTAGTCATATTGATAGTAGCAGTAATAGTAGTCATATTGATAGTAGCAGTAATAGCAGTCATATTGATAGTAGCAGTAGTAGTAGTCATATTGATAGTAGCAGTAATAGTAGTCATATTGATAGTAGCAGTAATAGTAGTCATATTGATAGTAGCAGTAGTAGTAGTCATATTGATAGTAGCAGTAATAGTAGTCATATTGATAGTAGCAGTAATAGTAGTCATATTGATAGTAGCAGTAGTAGTAGTCATATTGATAGTAGCAGTAGTAGCAGTCATATTGATAGTAGCAGTAATAGTAGTCATATTGATAGTAGCAGTAGTAGTAGTCATATTGATAGTAGCAGTAGTAGTAGTCATATTGATAGTAGCAGTAGTAGTAGTCATATTGATAGTAGCAGTAATAGTAGTCATATTGATAGTAGCAGTAATCAAAGTCTCTGCTCTGTCAGACGTCCACAGAGATTTGTCGGCATTGGATCCGGACTTTTCCGGCGCTCTGACCGACCCCCAGCAGAAAACACTCTTCCCTTCATACCAACGGGAACCAAGCTACTTCGAGATCCCCACAAAGGACTTCCAGCAGCCCAAACCCATGGGGGCGGAGCTTCACGAGATCCCCACCAAGGACACGGACACGCCCCAAGCCCCGCCCTCCCCTCCAACCCCGACCCCGCCAGTGGTTCAGAGCCACGCCTCCTTCACCATCGAGTTCGACGACTGCTTACCTGGCAAGATCAAAATCAAAGACCACGTCACCAAGTTCTCCACCCGCCAGAGGAAGCAGCACGCTCTGCCCAACAAGACCGCCATGGCAACGGCGACGCCGGCAGAGGTGATGTCAGCGGAGAGCAAGGTGGCCGATTGGCTGGTCCACAGTGATGTCAGCATGATGAGAAGACGTCCGACCTGTGAGGACGTTTACAGCACAAAGAGTGACCTCGCCATGAACATCAGGACGCTGAAAGGTAAGAGCTCACCTGGTGTCCTTAAAGGGCCAGTACACAGTTTTTAATGTTGGATGGTATAAAAAAGAGCCTCTTTGTATCTCTGATGATTGGGTTTGGATTTCTAGTTTCACCTTGATTCCATAAATAAACTTCACAGATCTGAAAGTCACAGCAGAGATCTTCAAAAGGTGATGATCAATCATTTGATCCTGTTTTGTAAAAGTCTGCCAGCGTTAAGTCCTGATGTCCAAACGTTTAATTGGAAACCAAACTCCATTCAAAAAACAAACATTTTTTGCAGATGGACCTCACAAAGCTTGACTTTGTACATTTTACAATTCTTCTTTATGATGTTGTTATTTCAGCGTCCTTTTAACCCATTTATTATGATTAAATTAAAGCTCTTGATGTGGACACACATCAGTGACATGCTCCTCTCATGTCTGTTTAAATAGCTGCATGAAATCAAGATCCTCCAATAATACTACACCAGCCTAAACGTGTCCTCAAGCACCAACAAGATTCTAACAATCTGATCTCAACCTTCAGACTCTAAACACTGTGTGATGTGTCCATTAGCAGGAACATGTTTAGCTCCACTCTCAGTGACAGAATCATCAGTTCTTATTGTGACTGGGCTGTCTTCTTATGTCAGCATCACCTTTGGTTGCCTGGTCAGATTTTAAGGTCACTGCAGCGCTGGAGTTTCAGTCGATGTCAGTTTTAATCATTTCAGCATAAAAACATTCACATACAGCAAAAAAAAAAAAAAAAGAAGCAGAACCTGTAGTAAACAATTCCTGATAGTCTGTTTCCAGCCCATGTTCTTCTCTCGGGGGATTCAATATCTCCGGCTGCCTTGCTGACCTCTTTGATGTGATGACACCGGCTGCATGTCGACTGCAGAGCTGCTGTCAGTCCTGTCTCTGCACATCGAGTGTGTCTTTATTAATGGCTGGTGAAATGTGTTTTACTGCTGTATTAGGTCTATATGAGGACCCTCTGATCTGGCCGAGAAGCACACATGGCTCGTTGTAAAAATAGACAAGTCTAATATCTGTCAGACTTCACGTGGGCGGTGTGTCAACATACACACTATTCATGCTGGAAGTGTGGGTCAGTCGGACTTCTTTAAAGAAATCCGTCTGTTTCATGTTTATTCTGTTTAACTCCATCCATGTTGCATGTTTTGATTTTGACTGATTCCCTTTTCTGGGACGTGTATATAAAGTTTTTTTTTCTTTTATTCACCAAAACGTGCACACACACACTCACACAATAAAAAAAAGAGATACAAACAAGAGGGGAACTGTGGTACAATACAGTTTTTCAAACAAACAGGACAAAGAAAAACATGGAGACAGTATAGTAACAAAATGATGTCAAATAACACTGGTGGGATAGGTTGTACACATGGTGGCAATTTTTGGTGTTATTTGTTTGTTTTTGTTTTGTTTTTCACTTTGTATGGGTGCCAACATGATGATTGCCAAATAAATAAAACTGCTGCTGAACGGCTAGGTGGTGTTTTTTGTTGTCAGGTCATCATCATGACGATGGAACCCAGAGTGACTCTGAGGAACCGGAACTCAAAGGCAGCCAGAGTAAATCCCACCACTCGGTGCAGTCAGAGCAGTCTGAGGCGTCCCTGCAGATCCCCCACACACCTCAGCCCGTCCCCCACCCTCCTCCAGCACAGACTGTCCACCTGCAGTACTCTCCACCTGGACCGGCCCCGGCCTCTCCTGTGGCCCCTGAGCGGCCCCTGTCCCAGAGTCCTCCACAGGCTCAGTCTCCCACCACAGAAACCCCAATACAGGGCCCCCCAGAGCACCTCCCCCAGCAGGCCTTCATCATTGAGTTCTTTGACGACAACCCGCGCAAAAAGCGCTCACAGTCCTTCACGCACAACCCCGCCCACGCCGACTCCTACTCTGCCCTCAAGGCCAAGCTGGAGCGGCGGAAAGGTGGCGAGAGGCCGGCATCTGTGCATGGTCACATCCCCCCCACCCAGCAGGTGACAGTTCCTCTGAAAGGCCAGGGCCACAGCGGCCCACAGAGGTCGAGTTCTCTTAAGAGGGAGAAGACGGAAGGGGAGACGGCCTCCTCTGGCTCCTCCTCTCGCTCCTCCTCTGGGATCACCATCAGACCCTTCGGTAGCGTCGGCAAGAAGTCCAAGCTGGCTCAGGAGTTCGCTGCTGAATTTCTGAAGGATTCTGGTCAGCAAGACTCCTCCTTAACGAGGGACAAGATGTCCCCACCCCCGATGTCTGCCCCCCCAGTGATGGTGTCGCCTGCTCATGCAAGAATTCCCTCCCCGCAGGAACCTCCTGTAGCATCCTCAGTGTCCTACCCAACCTCCCCTTTACTGCCTCCTCCGGCAACCTCAAAGTCCTCAGTTCCCTGCAGTGCTGTGGGCCAGACCGCCTCTCCAGTCCACTCATCTGGACCCCCAATGTCCCCCATGGTGCCCCTGGGCGTCCGTGCAGGAGACCTCAGAGGTTCCCCGAGGATGATGAGAAACGAGGAGGACGACAGCCTGAGCGACGCCGGGACCTACACCATCGAGACCGAGTCCCAGGACCAAGAGGTGGAGGAGGCTCGTAACATGATCGATCAGGTGAACTCAAAGTTAGACCGCCAGAGTTTTCAGCCAACAACCACTCACAGACTCATGTTTGAGAGAGGAGGAGTCATAGCTTAGACTGATTCTAAATGACCACAGTAGTGTGTAGAAAGATATTTTACCTTAGAAAGAACTACTGGAGTCATTGTTAAATAACCAAAGTAGCAAACCACTCTAGTTAAACAGCCCTCCTGCTAAAACAATCACATAAGTAACTGTGCATTGAGAGAGGCTACAGATACAGAAATGCAGTATTCCTCATATGATGGTCCTACAGACGAAGCTGCTATTGTGTCTGTTGTGGAGAAAAAGGTTTGAGTCATTGTATTTTAAAGGGTTGGCCAATCTTTGTCTCTTCCTGATCAGTCCATAACCTTCAAGAGAACTGGAACTTTCTTCAGATGAGACGTCTTAAAATAAAGAGTCTCTTTATGTATCTCTTCAGGCATGCATGTGACCTCTTGTCCTTGTTGCTCCTTCCTCTTGCTGTGGTCCGGCTCCCCTCCTCATGCATGCTCTGTGCTCTGACAGGTGTTTGGTGTCCTCGACTCTCCAGAGTACAGTGGTGTGAGCACAGGAGTGTATAGACCTGTAATAAACGAAGCAAAGGATGAGCAAGCTAACCTGCCTAGCAATGGTAGCACTGTGGACCTGTTGCATGGCTTTAACCCAGCTGCTATCAGCAGCCCCCCATCAGGCCCCATGCAGGTAAATCCACTGAAGAACTGGACCTGTGTAGCATGTTCTGATCCCAGTGCATGCAGATTTGTGTTGTTCCCTCAGTTTACCTCACTTTTTCTGTCAAGTCTCATTGTTCTCTTTTGTCTCGCACTTCTATCAATCCAATAATATTCTCTGTGTTGTCTAGGTTCCACCTTCCAATGCAGCAGGTCTGGAAGGACCCAAATGGGTTTCCCGCTGGGCCAGCTTAGCAGACGGCTATGCTGAACCTGGTTCCACTCCACCTCAAGGGGAAAGTCTGGAAGGTGCTCTTCAAAGTCTTTCTGTGAATAAATGATTTAATAGTGCTAAATGGCCTGGTGTCAGGGCAGCCACTAAGATGATGCCATAAGCTGACCTGATCAATCACAGAAGGACAACCCATAGATTTTCTTTTCTAAATGTTCTGAAATAGTTTGATGGCAGTTAGATTGTGCGCCTGAATTACAGAGGCTGTAGTCCTCAATGTGGGCGGCCAGGGTTCTGACTTTGTTGTGTAGAAATAAAGGAATAAAAAAATCCCCTACATAAAACTTTAAAAGGTTTCCTCCTGTTGCAAACCTTTGGTCTGAAAATCTGAAAATACCCCAACACTTTAAGACGTCCTTTATAATTGGTGTAGGAAGCGTGAAAAGCTCAGAGCCCATTTGCCCTTCAACACCTTTATCCTGAAAATATTACCAATGAACTATAACACTTTTACTGATTAACCATGACTTTATTTTAATAGATTTGCGCCTGATGAGCCGGTCGATGGGAAATTTCAGCTACGATAACTCAGAGTCCGAGTCCAGCCACAGCTCGAGGACCAGAAGGATGTTGCCCCAGGTGCCTCCGGAGAAGCTGGACAGTGTTCCGCCGAGTATCCTGATTCGTCATGAACCTTACCACGGACAGGAAGCTCTGGACCAACCCTCCGGTGCTCCTCACCACCAGAACTCCTACCAGTGCTTGTCTGTCCAGGATGATGTGGACCCAGACAGCCTGAGTGATGCTAGCCGATCAGATGACGGACCTGTTCTGGACAAAACAAAGAAAAACCAGGTCAGAACTGGATCTGTTTCTCCAGGGGGCACCGGTAATCAGGTTAGGGGTGCAGATAAAGTGTCTCCCTCCACCAAATCCACCTCCTTCTACATCGGGTCTGAAGACCGTCCAAGCAAACCTGACCAAGTTCGAAGTCCAGTACAGTCTGATAGGATACGAGAACCCCCAGCAAAAACTCCCCCAACTACTGTCCTGATCCGACACCTGAGTGGGCACGAACCAAAGAGGACAGGAGTAAAACCTAACAGCTCAGCTCCCAACCTCCAAATACAAGACAAGGATTATGCTCCCACCAAAGACAGCTGTGTGTCATCTATCGTCCGCCAGGAGAGCTTCACCAAAGAGCAGCCATGTGACACCACCCAGATGAAAAAACTCCCTCACATCTCCAGCCATCCGTCCATCAGAGACCTGGAGCAGAGGAGGGAGAACCTCCAGGATTCAGAGTCCTTCTATCAGGAAGCAGAAGGAACTCTGTCCTCTCTGGACGCAAAGTTCCCCTCATCTGGATCCGGTCGTAGCTCAAAGAAAGGAGGCTCCTCCACCCACATGGAAGACTCCCTGTCTGGTGAGTCAGATGTGGACACTGCCAGCACTGTGAGCCAGGTGAGCAGCAAAAATGTTCCCGTTAGTTCTGCTTCTAAAAAGCGTCCTGCCATTAGCAGCCTCCAAAAGGAGAAGTCCTCTTCCAGCCCATCCATCCAAGAGAAGGGACGGCAACTCACGGCACGAGAACGGCTTTCAGAGAAACGCAGAAGCCAGGTGACATCAGATGCATCAAATAAGGCAGAAGCAGCAAAACGCTTTCAAATGCGCCGCAGTGCTGGCAACCGGGGATCTCTGGATCTGTCAGAGGGCCAG